TCGAGAACATTACCACTTTCGGAGAGCAAGTGTGTGAGTGTCGCACACATTTGGGTATGTGCCTACCCATTCGTACTCTTGAAAAATTTCAACAAAAATTCCAGAATTACGCCAAAATTTTTTTTTTTTTCAAATGTTTGTTTTTGTTTATGTTGTGCTCTTTCACTGTAAAAACAAGAAGTATACTGTGTGCCTAGTGAGTGTATTTCTAGGAGACATTGAGCAATGCAAAAGCGTGCCTGAGCAGAAAACCTGCGCCGATGCAATAATCCGGATCAGCAGCAGCCCGCACAGGTAGCCCGCCCCGCCCCTTTAGCGAGCTGGGGCGGGGCGGGGCGGGGCGGGGCAGGGCATTGGCGAGGCGCCCCTGTTTTCAGCGGGCGTCCTCGCGAGTGTTCGATTGTTGACCCGGAAGCTCGCGGGCAGACGCGGGGCGGCGGCGCGGCAGCGCGGCCGACTCGCTCGCCCAGTCGCACTTCCAAGTGGGTGATCTTGACCCGGTCGCCGCCGCCGCCTGCCCGCCTGCAGTGCCCACCGCTGCTTGTGGCTGGTTGTGGTGATGAGAAGGAGGGGGATCGCAGCAGACACTCCGTTGTCCCGAACAGACGTGGCTTGTGCGAGCCCGTTCTTCTTGGTGCTCTGCGCCGCCCGCCACGGGGACAGCAGATCTCCGATCAATAAGGACGCAGGACAGGGCACTGGAAGATAATCAAACGAGTAGAGTCACACCTTTTGCAGGCCCGCATGCTCCTACAGAAATTGTTAAAATAATGCTCTAAAGTACAGGAAAGGGCGCTAAAATTGAGTCGTGCCTTCGGCAATTTTTGTTTGAGCACTAAATTCTAAACGCCTTCTATAGGTTACGATACCTTTTTTGCAGAAGTGGATTTGTTGCGTTTTGCACTCACTGTAATAAGCTTGTCGCACAGTGGCCGGTTCAGCAACCGAAGTTTGAAAACTTGTGCAACGTGCCATTCAGAAGCAGGAGAGCTCTGTCCTCCACCAACAGCAGCAGGCACCTGTTGCTCCTCCCCCTCTCCCCCTCTCTCTCTCTCTCGCTCGCTTCGCGGTTTCAGCTTCGGCCCGCGAAGCACGAGGCGAGGAGGGCCCCAAAAGAACTCGGCGGCGCCGAGCCGAGCGTGGCGGAGCCGCGGTCGCACACTCGAACCGGAGGCCCGAGCGTGTTGTTGGGGATTCCCGCAGATTCCCGCTTCATTGTGGATCTCTCCTCCAATGAGAAAGACAGAGAGAGAGAGAGAGAGAGAGAGAGAGAGAGAGAGAGAGAGAGAGGGGGGGGGAGAAGGAGCAGCCAGCCAGGTGAGGGGTCTTTATGCCGCAGATAATGCAATTATTATAGGAATCGACTTGGCAAGAGAATGACGACGCTTTAATTCTCTCAGTACCAGAGATAAGGCTCAGGGCTTATGTAGTCCTCGAAAACATGTTACTCAGGCATTTGTTCATTTGTGCCTTTACTTCTTTTGGCGTACGCCAAAAAAATAAATAAATAGACGTGATACACTTTAAGCGACACCGCAGCTGTTTCCGCAAGGGCAAGAGTTGGCAGCGTGTCCGCGCTCGGCCGGTGCGCGTACGAGCGGCGCATAATGAATTTGTAATTATTTGGCTCGCCTGAACGAAGGTGTTTGAACAAGGGCCCAATCGAGACAAAGTTTTTCTCTTTTCGGCAAAAAATTGTCTGGTTGGCACGTTGACTGGACTGGAGAGGAAAGGGGAAGAGGGGGGGGGGGAGGAAACCACAGAACGGCAGAGCTGTCGCGGGTTGAGCGATTGGAGTGAGAGGGGGGGAGCAGAACGCGGACCAGAAGCAAATGAACTCTTGAGAGGAGAACAGAAAGGCGCGAAAGAGAGACAGGGAGGGGGAGAGAGAGGGAGAGAGAGAGAGAGAGGGAGAGGGAGACTGCGCTATGATGAGGTGTGTGAGAGAGAGGGAGGAGCAGTAGTTAGCTTGTCGCGGCTTCTCCGCACGTTATCGTATTTTTATCCCGCACGGCGGCGAATCCAAACAGCCGGCGGCCGCTTCGCGTAGCAGCAGCAGCGGCGGCGTGGTCGTGGTGCTGTGGCGGAGAGGCGGGGAAGGTTCAGAAAGGAGGGGAGGGGGCGTTAAAACAAACTCGAATAACACCGGGCGACCAGGAGGA